CCTTTATAAAAAAAAAAAAAAAAAAAAAAAATCTCTAAAACAAAACAAAAGAATATTGGCTACTGGGGAAGAAGGGAAATTGCACACAGGAAGAAGCACACAGGAAGTATACCACAGGGCTCCACAGGTTCCCCACTGCACAACGCCAGGAGATGCTGCAGACATAGGCCTCCTCAAACACCAGCGAGAATCCATTTCTTGCACTGGGTAGTGGGTACACGCATTCCTATTTCTCCTATGTAACATATTTTATATAGATTTCTGAATACATAATCGATTGCTTCAGGAGTTGGCAAACTTAGTCTATAAAAGACCAGCGAGTCAGTATGACAGCAAGTAAGGGCTCTGCTTAGCGCTCGGCTCTGCTGTGGTAGCACACAAGCAGTCGGTCTGTGACAGGTGGGCGTGGCTGTTTCAATCCTTCGTTTACAGAAGCAGGTGATTGGGTATGGTGTAGGGCCATGACAGAACCCCAGCATACAATTACATCTTTATAAAAGAGAAGGTATAGTTGTGGTTGTCTCGGGGACTGAGAAGAATGGATAAAGGATTCCTTGGAAGCTTATTAGGAAATGAAGTTGATAGCATAGCCTTCTGTAATCTCTGTTTTTAAATGTTATAGGTGTGAAAGTGGTCTAAAGTTGAGTTTTTATTTTTTTTATTGAGACTAACTCATCAGAGAACTCCTTTTATCAAAATTATCTGGACTAATTCTTTCATTAATATTGGGTCAACAGAAAAGTCATGGTGTATTTTCGCATAGAAACAGAAAATATGTCATGACTTTCCCAACAACGCAGTATCGTGTGTCATCCCACCAGATGTCAGGCATGCCAGGAGCTCTGCATACACTAGTTCTTTTCCTTACAGAAGTTGTTCAAAGCAGGGTGTGTGTGCGTGTGTGTGCGTGTGTACACAGTTTGCACCTGAGCAAGGCTGACTTTTGTAAGGGCAGAGAGCTCATAACCTTAGATAAAGCCCAGGCCATTCAGACTCTCTTCCACAGCACACTGCCTCTGTAAAAATAGGTTTTAATGCTGCCCAAATCAATTTGCTTTTAGATTGTCTTCGCAGCTTTACTGACCTAGAAGAACTTGACGAGACAGAGCTATACATGTGCCATAAGTGCAAAAAGAAACAGAAGTCCACAAAAAAGTTTTGGATTCAGAAACTACCCAAGGTAAGTGCTGAATTTTCAAAGTATTCAGTTTCAAAGGCACAGTCCTTGACTGATGAGCCAGGTTGTCTTTCTAACTGTAGACAAGGGAGCGGTTCTGCACTGGTCCCTGGGGTTTTCAGTAAAAGCTCAACCCTTCGAGAAAGCCTAAGAGATGCGTGGGGAAAAAACCCCCCTACCGCGTTACTTCAGAGACATGGGTAGTGAGCGGTTAACTTTGATTCAGATTAAATTTAGACGTGTGTTCACAATTCGTGCCCTTCTCTATCACACAGGTGCTTTGCTTACATTTGAAAAGATTTCATTGGACAGCATATTTAAGAAACAAAGTTGATACATATGTAGAATTTCCGCTCAGAGGCCTAGACATGAAATGCTACTTACTAGAGGTAAGGTGATGGACTACCTTTTCAGCATGTAAAACTGGCTTCACTTGGGGAGGCAGGGTCACTGAGGTGGGAGGTCCTGAGGTCAGCGACTGCTGCTCCTAACATCTCGGGGATGCCCTCTCCCTTGTCCTGCAGCCTGAGAACAGCGGTCCGGAGAGCTGCCTGTACGACCTGGCCGCCGTGGTGGTGCATCACGGATCTGGGTGAGTGGTCCGCTCCTGGGCTGGGAAGACCTGTCGTTCTGCACCTCTCGATATTTCTTCCCAAACTGCCCCCCACAGCGGAGTCAGATGATGAAAGTGGGTGAAGTCAGACTCTGGTCAGGCTGGGTGTGGAACAGCCTTCTTGAGAGGAAGCCGGGTGAGGTGCCCAGAGGCGTGAGACGACAGGGCAGGGGAACGGCTTGCCAGACCCCGACGCTCAGAACATGGTCTCTGTCCACAGTGTCCTTAGTTGTGTCTACTCCAGATGAGGGGAAGTGGGAAATGATTTGGGATAACTGGCACTGTCATCTACTTTAAAGACTGGATTTGAATGTTTTGAATAACATGTATTTTTCTGACACTTTGTATCGGGTATTTGCCTTCTGACTGCTTTCAGAAGGGCTTTTTTTACCTTGAAACTTGGGAGTCCTGTACTTGGGCAAACGACTGTCCGTGTTGAAAGTCCTTTTTCCTCAGAATTTTGTAGACCTTGGTCCATTGTCTTCGCTGTTTTTATTGTGTATGAGTTGATTCTCACTTGTGTATAGGCAGTCTGGTATTTTTCTCTTTAGAAGTTTGCAGGATCCTCTTATCTTTTGACTTAAACAATCCTCTGGTATACTTGTGGTTGGTAGTTGGGACACTTGTAGTTTAGTATCGTTAGCTCTTAGAAGTGTTTGTGTGTTCCACCCCATTCTCTCTTGGGATCCCTAGTAAAAGTACAGTGAATTTCCTGGACCTGTCTTCCACATACCTTACATATTCTTTAATGACTTCTCTCAGCTTCCAAAGACTACCATGGCCTGCTTTTCCAGATCACCAATTTGGGTTTCATGTGCATGCAAACTGAAGATTAGCTCTCCATAAACTTTATATGGTGACACACTTTTTCTGAAATGCTTTTTCATGAGAGCCTATTTTTTTTTTTTTTGGAGAGGTGTTTGCTATAGGGTGCGTGCACTCGCCAGAAAGGCAGAGAGAGACAGAAAGCGAGAAATCACCCCCCGGGGGGATGGCCACGCTGCAATCCCTTCTCCTCCATTCTCCTCTCGGGATCTTGGGCATGCACACACAGGCGTGCCCAACACCAGTTTAAGCCACCGGGTTCGGGACTCGAACCACAGTCACCTACATGGGAGTCCAGCGACATAGCCATTACGCTAACTGCTGGTCCCATAAAAGCCTATTCTTGTGTTTCCCGAGTCTCCCAGACAGTGCTCTCCCGTCCTGCGCTACGTTCCCCAGGGTGCGCTTCTGGCACTTCTCTTTCATGGTTTCTGTCCGTGAGAATTTGATTTTTTGTTGTTGATTATGCACAGTCATGATAAATGAAGGATGAGAGTAGTCATTATTGGAAAATAAAGGTTTTTCTTGCAAAGGTCTCTGTCCCACCCACAGGCCCTCGTCCTGACTGAGGGCTGACTCGGGTTCCCTGTGGAGCGAGTGTATGGCCCATGCTTGCAGGGAGAAGCCCTTAGTGACCGAGGTGCTTCTCTGGAGGCCGATGCTGTTTTCTCAGACATTCTGATGGGAAATCTGATCCTCTGTTCTGTTCCCACGGGCCTTGACCTGCGCTTGTTGGTTGAGAATTCCTTGGCTCTGCTTGGTTTCTCCATTAACAGGCGCCATGTGCTTTGTGTGCTAGGAAAGCACTGCTCTCTGGTCAGTAGGTAGTGTTCTTCCTGCTTCTTAGTGTCAGTACATTCCCTGTCCTTCTGCTGGGTTTGGAGGAAGGTAAACACATGAGCCTAATCACCTATCTGAAACCAGAACATAGTAGCCTATTCTAATTCTAGAAATTACAGTACTCACAGATCTTCTTGTGATTTCTGCATTATCTTCTTTTTATTTGCTCTTTTGCCTTTTGTCCTTACAGGGTTGGTTCGGGACATTACACGGCATATGCAACTCACGAAGGCCGCTGGTTCCATTTCAATGACAGTACTGTAACACCGACTGACGAAGAGACCGTAGTGAAGGCAAAGGCTTACATCCTTTTTTACGTGGAACGCCAGGCCAAAGCTGGATCGGATAAACTTTAATACCTCCTCCAAATCATTATTCATTAACTATACCGGACAGACATTTCCAATTTTCCATAAATACTTGATCCAAGATTTAATTTCATTATGCACTTTTCAATTTCCTGTTTTGGGTTTAGTTTTGTCAATGGTAGTGACTTGTTGAACATGGGCACCAACTAATTTTTTGTTGTTGTTCTACAGAAAACCTCAGCAGACATTTCGATTTGCTGCTTTAGTTGTAATAATTCAATTTTTATAAGTAGTTTCAAGAACTTAGTTCTATTTGACTTTTTTATATTAATGTTTTCAATTCTCACTCTGAGGCACATTTACATGAATGCTTTTGTCACTCTGACGCGCTGAGAGCTCAGTGTGCCCCTGACCGGGAGGAGTGACGTGCCTGCCTGCTGCCTTCACAGCCCCGACGCCGAGGCTGACGGAATCGAGGATCATGTGCGCACTTAATTTGCGACCCACAAGATTTCACAGTGACTGCTTAGTAATCATTCTTTCTGCCTGTAAAAGGTAACTGAGAGGGCGTCACTACGTAGACCAGGAAATTGCTTCTCTCAGTGTCTCTCAAGGCTGCTGTTTATCAGCACTAACGAAATAAATGTGTTGGTTCGGTTTTACCTGTACTGCAAGTTCAAGAATTACTTGGGTGTTCTCTTTTTGTGCTGGGTATTTTGTGTTTTCACGGGGGAGAGAAGGGGAGTACAGAAAGGTACAATGGTAACCACGCACGTTCAGTGCTCACAGAATTCTGGGCTCACTGCATGGTGGGAGGAAATCGCAGCCTGAGCAGCCTCGGTGCATTGGCGTCTGAGTCCCCTGCAGCCGTCACAGGGGAAGGGCCGCACGCCACTGCAGGCCTGCTCGTTCGGCTGCCTGAGGCCGAGCTGTGACCAGATTGATCCCAAGCATCCCACACTGCCGGGACAGTCAGGGCTGGCTCTGCCTCCACAGAGAGGCCACCTCGGCCAGGCTGCGCTGAGTGACTCGCTGGCGCATCCTGAGAGCAGAGCAGGTTGAAGGCATTCTCACTTGGAATGAGTAGTTCCAGTTCTTGAATTTAGTAGCCTTTCTTTTAAAACTGTTTTAAAAAATAAATAGGTATGAGCACTATGGACCTTAACCCAAACAAACTTGGAATTTCCACAAGGGTCGTGAGGTGGTGGTGGCATTACCCACAGATGGTGCAGAGTAGAAATGCCAGCCAGGCTTGTTGGTGTAGACACGCACCCATTCACCGCTTGAGCCAGCTTCTTTTCCTCCCTTTCAGTTCTCTGAGAGCCGACTGTAGCTCATGTTAAGCCCGCCGGCCAGGCTTTGGTCTTTCTTTTTTTTTTCCTATTAAAAGTCTTCAAGTGGATGAATGTAAAGCAAGTGGTGGCTTTCCTCGGTGTGAATTTGAAGCTGCAGGAACAGATACAGTTCAATTTCCATTTTAGTATTAGCAGGACAAAGCCCCCCTCCCTTTTTTTTTCCTCATTGTTTTTGCCATAGGGTGCAATGTGCTTGCAGGATAGAGAGGGGAAGGGAGAAATCACCACCCCGGGCGGGGTTGGGGGGAGGTAGTCTACACTGCAGTCCCTTGTCTTGGAGTGTTCTCTCAGGATTTGGGGCACTTAACACGTGCCCGGCATATATTTCAAGCCACCATGTCTGGGACTCAAACTGTGGTATCGGCTATGTGAGCTCCAGCCCATTACCTCCACGCCATCCAATGCGATAGCGACCTGCCACATGCAGTTACTGAAATAAAAACGCAGGTTCCTCGGGCACGCAGCCCAGGTGCAGGCCTGGGCATTTCCAGAATGCATGGAGCTCTCGGACACCAATAGTTAAATTTCACTCTAGAGAATGCAGATTTGCCATTGTGGCTGGGTGTCACCACTTAGGATCCTTAGAAGACAACGGGGAAACACATTTTAACGTTTTCAATGCTAGATTATAGGTTGAACTGTACAGAATTGTGATTTGATTGTTTTTGACCTACAGAAATGAGTTTCACAAAATTGGGTCTAATGTGTCGGTACGGCAGCACCCCATCTAACTGAACCGGCTCAGAGTCTCCTTCAGTGTCTCTCTCCTCTGAATCCAGCTCTTTGCTTAGAAGGTGGGCAGCCGCACCTCCGAACGCTAGCTCGCTCGTCTGGCCGAACGGGCAGCTGGTACTGAAGAAGAGCTGTCTGTAAGCCGGCGCTCACGGCAGACGGGATGGCGGGGCGTGGCCCGCACAGGCAGCGCTGCTCCGCCGGGCCATCGCTCGTCGCGGAAGAGAGGAGCGCGCCTGCCTGAGTCTCTAGTGCTTGCTCACTTTCCATAAGCGGAAGGACCGTAGAGACGTGACCGGATCGTCTGGACTGCACTTGAGTGCCAGTGATGTAACGTGCCTGTTTGTATTTCAGTTCTGTGCAGCCTTATCGTGCCTGTTTTAAAAGCTGATCTTTTGTGCACGTCAGGGCCGTTCCCCTGTGCCAGGTCACCTCTGGGTACACACGGCTCTCGCGTGGAGGGTGTACCGAGGCCAGGCCTCAGGCTGGGCGTCACGTGGCTCTTCGGAACTAGAAAAACTCCTCAGAAGCCCTCCCACGCTGGTGGGCGGTGGGGACGGTTGTGGCAGCACAGATCTCTCTCCATGGTGAGAACCCTTTGCTTATCCACTGTATTCTGCTCAGTGTGTAGTGATGAAAGGCGGCGTTACAGGGAGTGCGCCAGCCCTGGGGCGCTGTCCCGGGACCTCACCCCCATGGAGCCTACAGCAGCTTGCTTTCTCGGGTTGGGGACATATTTATTTCTTAAAGCCAAACCTCCCCTTCACTACTTCAGTGTACATAAGTCCCGTCGACCTCCACTGTCCCCCAAGCTCGCTCACATGCCCTCTGCTGCTCAAGTGGCCTCCTGGGCACTGGAAAAGCTCATGGGCACAGCCTGTCCCAGCAGCTGGCAGGTCCGTGTTCGTGGGTGCAGCCCCCCGAGCATGCCCGCTGCTCTGGGGCCAGCGCGGTGTCCGTAGTCTAAGGTTTCGCATCTCGTCGGGGCAGGACCTCCCCGCTCAGCTGTCGATGTGGCGGTCCCAACTGCCTGCCTTCCACGTGTGTCGGCTGTGCAGCGACTCACCATTAACGCCCAGGTGTACAAGGCCAAGAGGTTCGTTGAACTGTGAATGACCGGTTCTTGTAATCACGTCCCTGTCCTGCTTCACCAGCCTGACGTGTTCCATGGGAAGTCCCATTAAAGGTCTGTTCTTCGTCCCTTTGACTATGATTTCTGGGCACTTCTCAGCGGCACTGGGGACTCCCAGCGCTCTTACATGAGCTGCACTGCAGGCGGCAGGCGGCAGGTTCTCTTGCTGTGCACCTTGGCTGGGAGGGACAAACTGCGCCCGCCCAGGTGGGCCCACTCACCTGTCCCTGCCAGCGAATTCGGCCTTGTGGCTCCCCAGCTGACGATGAGCCCCAGCCACACAGCCCCACGACCAGGAAAGGCTCCAGCTCTGAGCAAAGGTAGTGGGTCAGCCCTGACTCTGCAGCAGGGGGTGGGTGCCTTTAATGACCACCCGCCCGCAGCAGCCCCTCTGCTACTGGAGGCAGGAAGCACCCATGTGCACACCCACCATTCTGCTGTGCTGGCCTGTTCCTGTCCCTGCTCCCAATGCAGCGCCAGGTAGGGCGGGAGGGCAGGGCCTGGCTGAGTGCCCTGGCTCTGGGCTCGGCCCTGTGAGAAGCCAAGCGGCCTATCTGCAAGGGCTGGCCAGCTGTGAAAGGGATTCGGGAGGAGAGTGGAGGTGATTTGGCTTTCAGGTGACCCACGTGGGGTACAGGGACGCGCATTGGGTACAGGGGAGCTTCTAAAGCCAAAGGCTTCCACTGTCGGCAGGACAACGACAGTGAGCAGCTAAGCCAGAACTGGACAAAGGCTGTTTTGCTGTCCCCCATTCTGAGGAGAGCCCCCCTATACTTCCTCACGTAGAGGGGTAAGGAAGGGTTGGGCTTCTCCGAGGATGGCTCCCTTCTGCCCTCCAGACCGTGACCTAGCTGCTTCATCCATGTCACTGCACCTGCCAGGAGGGCAAGACTGTCCTCACCCCTTCCCGGTCCAGCTAAGCGGGGAGAACAAACCGAGGTGTCCAAGCTGGGGACCCCTTGAGCTTTCCATACCACGTCAGCACCCCCAAAGCAGCCAGTCCAGCAGCACAGCACTTCCCAGGGCACTGGGGCACAGGTTGGAGTGACAGTTCAAAAACGGCTCTGGGAGGGGGACCTGAAGGGTAATGTGTACGTACCTCCAGAAGGCCTGCCTAGGGGTCCAGGGCAGCCCTCCTCCCAGGTCTCCAGTGACCCGAGGGCACTCCCAAGGCGGGCGGGCAGTGGGTGCTGGCTTACAGGGAAAGCTGGGACCGAACGCCTGAACTGTCTCGGCAGGTCCGCCTGGAGCCACCCCGCCCACGCTGACAGGTTTGGCAAACAGGCTGGAAACAGTAGGAAGATGTGATCGGAGACACAGGGCCAAGAAAACTTAGGCTTCAAGTTTAAAACCTGGCCATGCACACACACCCAAACCTCAGGAGGAGGAGCCACTTCCTCAAATCTTCCAGAGCTGCCGGGAGGCCAAGGAGACCCCAGGCCTACTGGAGGGCAACAGGGCTTGGGGGCAGGTCGTCCCGGCCTGGACCGCGCTCCACTGACCGGAAGCACCAGAGAGGAGTCATCGGTGAGTTGTGCCCACCCGGGGACTCAGCCATCACCCTCGCTGCCATGCACACGGCTGCTCCCTAGACAGGTCGAGCAAGAGAGGGGGTGCAGTGAGGAGACCAAAACCGTCCTGGCAGCGGAGCAGCTCCCAGGGAGTAGAGACAGCCAGCCACCTCCAGGGGCACGCCAGGAAGCCCGGCCCAGCCCAGCGCTCTGCTCATGTGGGCCCAGAGGAGGAAAATCCCTTTTAAGGAAGCTATTTAATTCAACAGGCTGCTTTCTGCCAGGACTGTCAGTGCCTCGGGACAAACGCTGAGACTGCTGCACGTGTGTGGGTCCTGGCTTCCCTCCCCCCTTGGAGCTGCAGCACCAGTTGTTGGCCAAAAATAAACTCCATTCCTCAACCATATATGTCCTCCACCCTGGCCGAGGAGGACGGGGCCGGCCGGCCGCGGCACTGCGGTGTGGCCGTGCACCATGCACATAACCCAGCTCAACCGCGAGTGCCTGCTGCACCTCTTCTCCTTCCTGGACAAGGACAGCAGAAAGAGCCTCGCCAGGACCTGCTCCCAGCTGCGCGATGTGTTCGAGGACCCCGCGCTCTGGCCCCTGCTGCACTTCCGCTCCCTTGCCGAGCTCCGCAAGGACAACTTCCTGCTGGGCCCAGCGCTGCGCAGCCTGTCCATCTGCTGGCACTCCAGCCGCGTGCAGGTGTGCAGTGTCGAGGACTGGCTCAAGAGCGCCCTGCAGAGGAGCATCTGCAGCCGCCATGAGAGCCCGGTCAACGACTCTCCCTTGCCGAGCTCCGCAAGGACAACTTCCTGCTGGGCCCAGCGCTGCGCAGCCTGTCCATGAGCGCCTTGCAGAGGAGCATCTGCAGCCGCCATGAGAGCCTGGTCAACGACTTCCTCCTCCAGGTGTGCAACAGGTAGGCTGCCCGCTCACCTCCTAGCAGCCAGGTGGATGGGGCAGGGAGCAGGGCATTCCGTGTGGGCACCTCCCAGAGGAGCCCGCGGGGATGGTTGAATCCCAAGGGAAACAACTGCTCATCTCTGGCCTCGCAGGTCCCAGAGCTGCTTCTGCAGTGAGGAACTGGGGCCCCAGCTGTCCCTGCCCTAGGGTAGCTGTCCGAGGCAGGGTGGATGCTGTGTGCCAGATGGGTCTGGCTTAGCCCCTGCTGGAGAAGGCTCCCAGCAGCCAGTGCACCCCTCCCATCAGCCCGAGGCCTGTAGAACACTGCCAGACTGGCCATGGGTGCCCGGCCAGCCAGCTGCAGGGTAGAGGTGGCGCTAAAGGACAGTGGGTTCCCTAGGGGACTTACTGACCCTCACAGTACCCCGAAGGGAGGGTATTTAGCAACATTTTCAAAAGAGCAGCGGGATGCTCTAAGAGGTGGTGTGATCTGCCCACAGTCTAGGGTTGCCAGACTTCGAAGAATGAAAAGAAAGGCCACCAGTTACACTGCAGCCAGCCCAACAGCAGATGTGCAATGCAGGTGTCCCACATGCAACCCCACCAGGGCAGAGGCTGAGCAACCAGGCCAGGCTCCCTCCACAGTCAGCCTCCAGGGAGATCAGCCTACCAGAACCCAGACCTCTTTCCCCGCTCTCCCTAGTCCTGCCCTACCTGGAGGAAAAGCAGCCCAGGACAGTGATGGCTGCTAATGGCCGGGCCTGGCGATTCTCAGAAAGTGGCTTAGCCAGTCACTGTCACCAAAGTCCAGTAGCTGCTGTGCGCTGCAGCCTGCCGAGTCTGCACGGAGATGGTGCTGTGGCCCCACCTTCCCTTCCTAATTTCTCTCAAACTGGTAGGAAAAAGACAGATGGACTTGGGGCTAGACCCAGGCACGATGTAGGCCATTTTGATGGGTTCGGCAGGCCCAGAAATCAGGCTGTTAGGTGACAGGGGGAGAAGGAGCTGTCCTGAGGTAGCTCCATTCTTGCCGTAAGAGAACTGGGCCAACCTCCAGGAGGGTGTGCCATGGACTGCCTAGGCCCTACGGGTCAAGCAAAGGGCCCTGCTGTCACTAAAAGGCTGTGTTGTCTGGCTGTGGGACCCCAAGTCCAAATATTTAACCTCTTGTAACCTTATTTCTTCCTCTGTAAAATAGAATAAACCCCTCTTCTCAGGGTAAGAGGATTGAATGACGGTTGCTCTGGCTGGTGGTAGGCTTCGCTGACCATCTGGCTCCCCTGCAACGCCAGCTCAGGGAGTTGCAGGAACAGCTGGAGGGGGCTGGGCAGGGGGGTCTCCACTGGTTTCTTCCTGCTTCTCAATTTTTCCAAAGCTTCTTAGGAGAAGGGATGGCTTGGCACCCGGGGCCCAAGTTCCTAACCCTCATGGCCACCGTGAAGGGAACGCTGTCCCCTGTGCAGCAAGGCTCCTGCATTAGCCCTGGTCAGACAGCAAATAGGACAGACAAGTCACTTGGGCTCTTTGAGCCAGTTCCCTCATTTACAAAACTGGGGGTGCAGAGGGCTGACCTGATGACTAAAGGCAGGAGACATGGGCTCTTGTGTGCAAACGTGGCCATGCCCAGCATATTTCGGCTCCTGACCCCCTTCCCCAGGCACAAAGGAACAAGTGAGGTCAAGGAACTGAGCAGGACGCTGAGAGGGCAGCTGAGGCCCATCCCCTGCGGACCTGCTCCCTCTGGCGATGGGGGCCGAGGCCCAGGAGAACCCTTCAGAAGCAGCCTGGTCTGGTTTGTTTCCAGGAGCAGTTGGTGTGGTCACCCCTAGAAGGGCTGGTTGGGATGCACTCGTCACTGAGTTATCACCACGCAAACCCCTCCTGCCATTCGGACAGGGGGGCTGTGGGGCCTCAGCTGGAAGGCAGCTTGGAGGGGTCACCATGCACCGCCCCCACTCGAGGTGACAAGAGAACCAAAGACACAAGGGCCACCTGTCCTGAAACCAGCATCGTGTCCACG